TCAGCCGACCATCCTCTTTGATCTCTTCATGGCATCTTCCCAGGGGGGGTGACAGGACATTCACTGAATCTTTGACTGTCAGAGTCGATGGGACACAGAAATCTTTTAGCTTCCCATTTCCCAAAGGGCGTTGTACTGACGCAGTCTCTGTGGTCACGAACAGAGGAAAAAGGAGGGGGGCCGGGGGCGGACAAGGTTGAGAAATCCTGGTTCAAGCAAAGTTAGATGGGTGTCTCTGAGGGGACTTTCAGAGGCTGCAATATACAAATGTGTACCCTGATGTGACTTCCCGAGAAGGGAACCTTGCCTCCAGAGTTCCCCAAACCTTTCCCAGGACTTCTTTCGATAGCTGCTTAGGGGACAAGGGTTCTTCAGGTCACACCCTGAAGGACACGAATCATCTCCAGCCATGTCATCCCACAGCGTGAGGCACTGAGACATAAGTGAATGCCTTGCCCAGGTGACAGGTGACAGAGCCAAAGCTGAAACCCCCATTCCTGTCGCACAGCCCCGTGCTCCGTCCACATCACAGAGATGGGATCTAGTCCCCGTTCTAAAAACAGGAGACACCGAACGAAGCCTTGCTCGAGGCCGGTTAGAGACGAGCATCGGATTGGAATCCAGGTCTCTTGAATTTCTGCCTGGAACGAAAGAGGCCCGCAGCACCGGTGCACTGAGAAGTTTGTAAGTGCACACAGGAGTTATGCATTTCAGCACCTTTAGACGGCCGCAGGAGCGGGGCTGTGACTCCCGGGCGAGATGAATCACCATTGTGGCATGCCCGGTAAAGTGATTCTATTGAGCAGAGCGTGAAGTCCCAGAGCCAGCGGATGCTGGAGACCATTCAAAGGGCTGGGCTGCACCCCAGAGCTTCCTGCCTCCGGCAACAGGAAGTCCACAGGCAACGCTCACTTTCTCCAGGATGCAGCAGGTGTGTGGCCCCTGCAGGGGTTTGCTCCAAGATCTTCTCCAGCCTTCTCCAGCTGGAAGCTTCAGCTACCCCTAGACCATACTGTACTTAACCAGAGAGAAGCCTGTGGTTCAGGTTTTGGCTGGCACAAACTGGGCACAGCTGTTGGTGATCTGGCAGAAACTCATAGCCCAGGAAGGCCTGTGGGTGCAAAAAGGAGACAACACTCTAGAGCAGTGGTTCTCAACTGGGCATGCATTAGACTCACCAGGAGGGCTTGTGGAAACACATATTGCTAGGCCCCATGCCCGGAGAGGCTGATCCAGCAGATCTGGAGTCGGGGCTGAGAGTCTGCTATCCAACTTCCCTGTGACACGGATGTTGCTGGTCCGGGGACCACTGTCTGTGGACCACTGCTCTGGAGCGCCCTCTGGAGGATGCCCTGAGGTCCATGCACGCAGAATTGCTCCCTGGCAGGCCTGAAATGAAGGCGGCCTCTATTCTCACCATTTTGTCCCCAGTTCTAGAACCCAAGCAGGGAGATTTGTATCCTGGCTCTCAGCTTGCAGCTACCTGGGATACCAACACACAGAACTCAGAGAATGGGGTGAATTCTTGCTTTAATGTTTTAACTAGCTTATTGAGATATAATTCACATACCGCACAATTCAATGACTTTTTGTATAGTCAGAGATATGTGCAACCACAACCACAGCCAATTTTAGGACATTTTCATCACCACAAAGAGAAACCCTGTACCCTTTAGCTATTGTCCCCCTGTCCTCTCATGCCCATCCCAGCCCTAAGCAGCCACTCATCTACTCTCTCTGTAAATTCGCCTATTCTAGCCATTGCATACAAAGGCAATCATACACCATGTGGTCCTTGTGTCAGGCTTCTTTGACTTAGCATAGTTTTTCAAGGTTCTTCCAAGTCGTAGCCTGTGTCAGGGCTTCATTCCAGTTCTTGACCAAGTAATATTCCATTGTATGGATAGACCACACTTTGTTTATCTATTAGTCTATTGTCGGGCTTTCATTTTTGCAGCGAATAACTGATTATCTGTTAAAATTCATAGAACTGTACACGCACACAGAGTAAATTTTACTGTATGTTAATTTTTAGAAAAAGGACATAGGCAGCTTCTCTTGGAAGAGGGTTGCCCTGAGCTGCCAGGTGAGAACGCCTCAGACTTCTCTGAGACCGCCGCTCGGGGAAGGCCAGGTGTCCTGTCAACAGTCCCAGGTGAGGCAGCCTTTGCCTCCAAAGCACACATGCAAGGGAAGCCGGACCACCGAGAGACCCGGGCCGAAGCCACAAGGAGCGGTAGATGCTCCTAGCTGAGCCCCACCCAAATTCCCGGCCCACAGAATCGTAAGATGTAATTAAGTTGTTGTTTTAAGCCACCAAGGCCAGGTGCGGTTTGCTTTGCAGCGATGGCGCCTGGGGCGGCGGTGGTGCGTTCCCCAGAGGGATGTATCTGGGAGTCTCTGCTCCCGCCACCCTCGCCCACAGGTGGACCAGCAGCGGCCCCCGGAAGGTCAGTCTCCCTCCTTCCACCCTTCCTTTCTCTCTGTCTTCTCTGGCAGCCAACGCATTCCTTTGAAAATGGGAGTCGGTCACTTCCCTGCTCCGCTCAGACCCTCTGAGATTTGCCCCCAGCTCCCCTTTCTCCCCTCTCTCCTCCTCTCTCTCTCTGCCTTTTGCTCCTCCTCTAACCTGCCACGCATACTCCCCACGCAGAGTTTGAAAAAAGAGTTTGTTGTGATACAATTCCCATACACAAAACGTGCCCATTGGAAGAGTCCAGCTGGGTGGGTTTTCGCACATTCCTGTCGCCTTCCCTACCTGACCTGTGCTGGCTGCTCTGTTCCTGCCCTGGAAGATGTCAGCCGGTGGGACAGGCATCTTGCTGCCTCGTTCACCACTGTCCCCCCAGCCTCTTCACGGTGCCTGCCTGGCACAGAGCGCTTGCCTAGTGAATGTGTCGCCCTCTTGAACACAGAGCTGTCCAGCTCCACGAAGGTGAGATATGAGCTGGTCTTAATTCAAGGATGTGGGCAGGTCCTTGCGACCATGGGGGGGGCCTCAGCTGCCATGTGGTGAGGACCTTGTCTGTGTGGGGCTCTGGGGAGATGGCATGGGTCCTCACCCTGCCCTCTGCCCAGCCCCACGCAGACTTACGTGTCCCGGACCTGCTGAGTGAGGGGACAGCAACCTTTGCTGATGGCTGAGTCAGAGCTAAGGGATCCCCTGCTTAGCCCCTCAGCTCACATATTTGCATCCTAGGGGGGCCTTCTGGGGACACAAAACCCCACATGGGGACTTTAAGTGGTGGTTGTTTTTGAGTAGTTGCAAGAGCGGGGTCTGAGCTGGCAGACCCGGGTTGAAATCCAGCCCCAGGCATGGCAGGCGCCCCTGGTGTCCAACACAGGCCCTCCGCCCTCCTCTGGTTCTATCGTAGGGCAGTGGCTGCTCAGGGTGGGCTCCGCAGGCCACACGCGGCCACTGTCACCCTCTCACACACTTTGCTTCTTTCTGCCCCAAGGCTTCTCAGACACCGACCAGCCGGCTGGGTGCACACAGAGCAGGCCGCGAGGAGGGTGCTGTGGCCCCCCGGCGGCAGCAGCGCTGACCAAGGAGGCAGGGGCCAGGAAACAGTCCGCTCTCCTTCCTTCGAAAATGCGTGGGGACACACGTGCTGCCACCATTCGCTCACTCACCCAGCAAGAGGTGCCATCTCTGTCTCTGCCCCTGCCAACCTGGGAGGCCTTCGTGGTGGCCTCAGGGAGCTGGATGCAGCAAAGGGATGCTCCACGGCTTCCCAGGCTGCCTTAGAAAAGGCCATGTGGTTGCTGCCACCCACACTTGGGACACTCACTCTGGGAGCTTCTGGCTGCCATGTGAGAAGTTTGGGTGGAGAGACCAGAAAGAGAGAGAGAGGCTAAAGAGGAGAGGAGGGAGGGAGGGGAGAGAGACAGAGGGAGAGATGGGGGGACGGAGAGAGGGGGCTGGGGGATGGGCCCCCCCCCCCCAGGACCCGTGGCCGCGAGCCTGCAGGAACCAGCGCCTGACCACGACCGTAGGGGAGACCAGGGTGAGAGCTGCTGAGCTGAGCCCGGTCCACCCCAGATTTGTCAGCAAAAATTATTATTATTGTTTGAAGCCACTGCTTGGGGGTGACTTACTACTCAGCCATGGACAAAGCAGCTTCTCCTCAGCTTTTCCGCCATCCGTGTCTGGCTCTGGCTTCCTGGGGACCACCTCCCCAGACAAACCACCTGCCCTCAAGGCCTCAAGTTCTGCATTCACGGGAACCCGACCAAGCCATCCACGACCGGCCGGGGGGGCAGGGGATGCAGCTCGGGTCGGAGGGTCGCCCCGAGCTGTGGGAGCTTCATCTGGAAAATGGCAAGAGTATCATTTCTAACCCAGGATGCTTCTGAGGTTGAAATGGAAGAATCCAGGTGAACTTAGCATCTGGCAGCCGGTGTCCGGGGCAGCTCATTGGCTCAGAGGCAAATTCAAATCCAGTTTCCAGGTGTGATGGGCACAGCAGGCACCGCCCATCATCCCCCCAAAGCTGAATTGCTAAAGATTCAGGGAAGAGGCTCCAGCCGTGACTGGGCTTGACTCCTGGCGGCCTGGTGGAAGCCCAGCAGGGCAGGGAGCCATCATCCTCTTCTCGGGCCCTAACGGAAATAAAGCACACTCTGTTCTTATAGAAATGTTATTGTATCTTTCTGACACAGATAATAAATTCCTGGTCATAAGCTGTGTTTCCTCTGGTTTCTATTTTTTTTTTCCCCCAAGCAAATTACCCCAGTGGACACAAATTGCGGCAAACAGTTTCATTTCAGGTCACAGGACTCAGTGCTGTGATCAAGGATCTGAATGAAACTCCTGGCAAAATACAGTAATTAGAAGCACAATGAAAGCAGACTCGAAACGGCCCAGCCTCTCACAACACCAACAGGCAGGCTGGTTAATTTCCAAATGATATTTGGGTTCCACATGCCAGGGACTCTTTTTCATTCGGGCAGAGAAAATAGGACTGAAGATCACGACAATAACCACACAAGACTCGGAGTGTCATTATAAAATGAAATATCCCCTAGCAGGCAAATCATTTTAATGTGTTTCAAGAACTGAATACTCTGTGTGGAATTAAAAACAAAGAAAAAAAAATCAACGTGCAGAAAATTAATTAAAAAGAGGTAAGACATAGAAAAGCTTCGAGTGTCATAAAATTACAAATACAAAAGCAACAAATTAAATACACACAGGTACAGTTACAGATTTCAGTAACATTAGTAGCCGGCACATACCCACTGAATTACATCATTGTCAAATATCTTACTAATTTTCAAAGGGGGCTGGTGGTAACAATGAACTTATTGATCCAGGGGACTTGACGTTTCCCTCTATTGCAAGCAAACCTGTAAAGACGGCTTCAAGTAACTTTGAAAAAATGGAGTTCCTTTTTTCAAAGAAAACTGACATAAAAGGGTTTACCCCATCTGCCCCCCTCCACCAGCAAAATGTGTACATTCATTCAACTCTTTTAACTAAGGCAACCAAAAGACAATTTCTTGAGACCCCAAATGACCTCAGAAGCTACAGATTCCATCCACGTAAGAAAAAAAGGAAAGAACAGAAGAGGACAAGCTCCAGAGCTGAGGACAATGATTCCATAAACAGCAGGTCGGTTCACTGTTACAGCTTTTGTGGATTTCATGTTAAAATGTCCTTAAAAGAAGGGGTGGACGGGAGTGGCTCAGGACCCCAGCCATGCCCTGGGTCAAGAAAGGACCCACATGAGAAAGGTGGTATATGGATCAGTTCTCAGGGATCTTCTTGACCCTGTGCACACTGCTGAGGTAGGAGCTTCGGAAGAATGGCAGACCATCTTAAGGGAGTCAGTGTCCTCATGGCAAATCAGTGCCCTCCTGCTCAGTTGGGGGCCTAAGATGGTCCCAGTCAGCGGCCACGTGGGACCTTACAAAACGCAAGCGTTGTGTCAGATTGCAGCCACGGAGGAGAGCAAGATCCAAGATAGCCACACGAGGTGGCCGAGATCCTGGTGCTGACCACAGGACATTTGCTGTCTAGTGCAAGCTCAAGGGTGTTGGGGTAGGGGGTGAGGTGGAAAACCCCAGCAGACAACCTACAAAATGGTCATTAGTAAATGTATCAAAAAGTATCAAAACATTTCAAAAAACTTTAAAACTGCCAGGCTTGGCAGACGCACAGGGCAGGATCTCTGAGTCGCCGTGGAGCTGCCCTGTCCCTCCAGAGGCTCGTCCTGGAGGCCGGGCCCCCGCCCCTGCCCTCCTGGGAAGACACTCAGAATCCAGAGATGGTGAGGATGTCCAGGCAGGCCACGGTCAGAACTGCCCCTCCAGGTTTGGGAACAGCCGTCTGAGATTGGAGCCAAGAGCCTGTGAGGCGCTTGCTGCTCAGGCTGGTGCTGCCCGCACGCCATGGAGGACCAGGGTCAAGATGAAGGCTGACAATGCTACAAGGGGGGCAGGTGTGGGAGGGTCCCCTCACTTCCCACATTGCTGCAGACCACCGAAAGCTCACTGCTGGCTTAGCGACCAGGTACTTCGAACCACAGGTCAACTCACCTGAACTCATGGAGTGGGACCCTGGACCTTAGAGGAGGGGCTCCACTCCGCTTTGGTGTTTGGGTTCCCACCGACACTGACACCCCTTAGGGTCGGCTTCTGGGGCTCCTACTGCATCACCGTGAGGTCACCTTATCAGCCAGGGGCCGGGGGGCACTAAGAGTATAAATACACACATGAGGTTTCCTGCTCAGATCAAGAACTAGAAGTCCTTCCGGGAGGTCTTTCCAGAATGCCAGAATGTTAAAAACACCGTTTGGGCCCCACGTACCAGCAGGCTGCAAAGACAATCTCTGCGTATCTCGCACAGCAGAAAGACCACTGGGAGTAGCAAGGGCTCTTCAGCTTTTCTCTCTCCTTCCCTTCTGTCCTTTTGTTTTATGTCTTAAGCAAACTGGGTTCCGACCTGGGGGACGACCAAACCCAAAATGTACAACCAACAGGAAGTTAAAACTCTAATTCTTTAAAAGTGAGAAAAAACCCAAAACCTGAATAAAAGCCCGCCATGCTTATTTGCAAAGATTAAAAGAACGACGCGGATGTTCTCAAAGTTCAAGCAGGACAGCTGGGAGCCCTGCCAGTTGCACACTGCCACGGCCCGGGCTTGCGGCACTTTGCTTTGAAGCCACACCATCTTGATTCTCCAGTTCAGACGGCCACCTGCCTAAGTGCATCCCCAAGCTCTGGCCATCTGAGTTAAAAGCCACTTTCTTCCTTTCTTAGTTGGACTGCACAGCGGAGTGATTTCCACCTTAAAAACACGGATAGCAAAAAGCTGCCATGGGACCCCCTCTGTGCTTTCCTGCGACCAGGCAGACACTCCCCATTGGTCATGGTGTTCCTTCCCGTCGACCCCAACGAGCTGGGAAACCTTTCTGAGCACAATGGAGCCACCAGTTTTTGGAAACTGGTTCACAAGCGGAAACTTACTTATCCACCCTGCCTCTAAAGGAACCCTCCCAACCCCGAGAATATCAGATTCTAAGCCAAGTGGATCATGAGCTGCCTTCCCAGCGGCAGGAGAGACATCACAAAATATTAGGGGCGGGACATCGTACATAACTCACGAGGCACAAGAAAACCAGCACAGAAGCCAGCACCGCACCCTTTTCCTGGGACGCACCGTGGTCATCAAAAATAAAACAGTTGGCTTAGGCTGAAAATTGATGGCTGTCCTCTCAAGGTCCAAGCCATCTCTCTCCCCACAGCACGCACAGCGCCGTCCTATGCGCTCCTCCCCACCTGCCCCTGGATTCTGGCTGAACGACCACCTCTTTGTTCGTGACTCGGGCTGAGCTGAGAAGAGACCACACAGGTTCCACGCCTCATAACGGGTCTTCAAGTGATGAAACCTTTCCTGCAACAAGAAGGGGGCAAGCCATCTCAAAGTTGGTGGAAGTTCTGCAAAACACGCTTTGTGGAGGGCGGGACCAGGTGTGAGACAAAGAAGCGTTCCAGGTGGAGACGCTGGGTCGATGGAAAGTTCATAGTTAATGCAGGACTTCTCAGAGCCTTGAACACACACAAGCGTTGGGGAGCTCTGAGAAGAGCGTACAGTTTTTTGGTTCTAGTGCGTGCCTTGCAGAACCTCTCAACAGTCTGTAAGCCTCTAGGGACTTCCATATGCAGGGAGCTAGCTAAATGCGCAGACGGCTCACCCAGCTCGCACTGGAGGGCAATACTGTGGGTACCGAAGCTTTCGACACCCAAGTCGCTCCGAGCTTTCCTGGTTACTATAGAAACAGGCCAATCTAAAACACAGTAAACCTTGAAGGAAAAAGAAAGGAAGTACAGTGAAGAGACAAAAAAAGAAACTAAGTTAACGGGTTCTAGTATCAATGCTAATAAATCCTGAATTGTCCTCATCTCTGTACTCAGACCTTGGCCAAGGCACAGAGCAATAACGTCCCCCTCGGCTCACGGGTACCGCCCATCTCATCCTCTCCTCCCGTCACCCTCCTGTCACACAGTGGCTCGGGCAGGAGTCCCCATGCTCCTTCCAGGGCATGCTCTCAATGCCTGCTCCGGTAATTGCGGAATCAGCGCTGGGCGGCTGCGCATCTCAGGAGGAGCTGAACGTAGTTCAACAGCTTATAAGACTGAAGGGGCCTGACCCCTGGGAGGGGGAGTCTGGCGAGTATTTCATCTACCCCTGTCGCTTAATGAATGAGCAAACAGCTCGAGACTCGTCACAGAATTTGCCCGGCTGCACAGACTACTTCACGTCTGAGCCCAGGATCCGTCGCTTCGGCTCAGGGAGACGCTCACAGCCCCTTAGGCATCAACACCTGCTCATTCGTGCAGGAGCTTTCAATGGTTTCTCAGAGCTGCAGTCACAGAAAACAAGGGCAAATGCTAGGGTGCTCCCTTTTCCTTTCCTGAGAAATAAATGCAGATTTGGTGGCGGTGGTGCTCAAGGATGTCGGTAATAAAAGAAACGGTGGATTCAGAAAAAAAAAAGAGACAAAGAAAAAAAAAAAAGCACAAATCACAGAATAATGTTTATAAAAAGCTTCAGGGCTTTTTTCCTTCCCTCCTTGATTACCTATACCCTTTTAGAATTCGGGAAGATCACTAACCAGGGAAAGGGGGACTATTCAGAAACAAGGGGCGGGAACACGCCCCTGGTGAGAAGTCCCGGGCCAGCCTGTCCAGCGAGCTGGTGACCCTTGGTCACTCACTCACCCTCTCAGAGTCTCTGTGTCGCACTCATAGAATGAATGCGCTTGACCTCGCAGCGGTTCCCAGAGGCGGCTGCTGCTCAGCCCTTCCAGGAACGCGTTAAAACACAATTTCCAGGCACCCCCCACGCGACACCCCTTCGCTCCGGGTAGTTTTAGACGTGATCATTCTGAGATGGGGCCCAGGAATCCGTATTTTTAAAAGCTCGGCCAGGTTTGGGGAGGCAAGGACTAGAGGGTCCGAAACGTCCCACCGAAGCCTCTGGTTTCACCATGAAAATTTCGGCATGACCCCTGTGTGCCAGCTACTCTCCAGGGGACGGCTGGGGGCACCCACGGGGACTCGTAATGTGGCAAGAAGGCTGCACAGACAGAAGGGGACAGCTCCTGCCTGGGCCCAGGTTTAATTACTCGAGCAAGATAATATGTAAAGTTATATAGAATATTTAATCGGTTACTGTGATATCATAGAAATACCAAGAATCATAAAAGTAAAAAAAGCTGCTAAGAAGTACGGGAGGGTTCCAGGGTTCTACGAAGGCGCTGCTGGTCTACAGACACTCTGGGAGCTGGCGGTGGGGACGAGGTCGGGGCCGCGGCCAGGCGCGGGCGGGGTCACTGGCCCCGGTCCTGGGGCCTCTTGCCCTTGCCCTTCTTCTTCTTGTCCTCCAGCCGCGGCTTCAGGGCGCACACGCAGGCCGACACGCCGGCGATGGCCTTGGGCAGGTCGGTGCCTCGGCTCCACCTGTCCTTCTCGCGGTCGTACACCTGCACCGTCTTGGAGAAGGCCGTGTTCTCCCAGCTGTAGCCGCCCAGGATGTAGATGCGGCCCTCCCACACGGCCACGCCCGACTCGCTGTTGGCGTGCAGCAGCGGCGCCACGCGGGTCCACTGGTTGCACTGCGGGCTGTAGGCCTCGACGCCCAGCACGTCGAAGCGTTCCATGGACTCGATGCTGTCGTCGCTGCCCCCGATGGAGTAGATGCTGTCCTCCAGGCTGCACATGCTGTGCCAGCCGCGCGCCGTGGTCATGGGCCGCCGCTCCTCCCACACGTCCGTCCGGTGGTCGTAGCACAGCAGGTTCTTGCGGTAGGGGCCGATCTGGTAGTCGTGGCCCCCGGAGATGTACACGAAGTCTTTGTAGATGGTGCCTGCGTGGCCGTACGTGAACCTGCGGAGAGACAGACAGACGGATGGACGGACGGAGACGGAGAGGGAGCTCAGCGCCCTGCCGGGCTGAACCTCCACGAGCTGGGGCCTCCGTTTTCTCCTCTACAAAATGAGGACAACCTGCCCACGGGGCGGTGAAGATTTGAGAGTATAATGCAGGGAGCAGGGACCCCGTGCACACGTCACAGAAGGCAGCTGTCGCTGGACAGGAAGAAGCAGGCAGACTGCTGGGTGAGAACCCCAGCTCGGCCCCTCTGTTTCCCCATCTGAGAAGAGCGGATAGGGGCCGCCCCGTGGCCGAGTGGTTAAGTTTGTGCGCTCCGCCTTCGGTGGCCCAGGGTTTTGCCAGTTCAGATCCTGGGCGCGGACATGGCACCATTCATCAAGCCACATTGAGGTGGCGTCCCACATGCCACAACTAGAAGGACCCACAGCTACAAATGTGCAACTATGTACTGGGGGGGTTGGGGGAGACAAAGCAAGGAAAAAAAAATACTGAAAAAAAAAAAAAGAAGAGCAGATAATCACAAGACTGTGATCCTTCCTGTAAAAACTGAAAACAACAACGTGCTATCGAGGCACAAATATGGACCCGATCAGATTACACACCTGACGGGGAAGCGAAATCGAGTGCAATTCCAACTACGTGACATTTGGGAAAAGTCGAGACGATGGGGACAGTAACGGACCAGCGGCTGCCAGCGGTTGGGACTAGGAGGGCAGGGAGGAGTGCGCAGAACACACGGAATTCTTACAGTGGGGAAACTATTCTGTCCGCCACCGTGATGGTAGACACAGGACATTATACATTTGTCGAAACCACGGAATGTACAACACAGAAGGAACCCTAAAGCACACCGTGGGCCTTAGTTAATGACAGTGTGTCAACTCTGGGGCATCAGTTGGAACAAATGTATTGCGCTATGCACTATGGCAAGATGTTAAAAATAGAGAATGTGTGTGCTTGGGGGAGAGGGCACGTGGGAACTCTGTACTTTCCGCTCAATTTTCTGTAAACCTAGAATTGCTCTAAGAAATGAAGCCTCTATAAAGACAAAGAAGAAAAACACAAAACGAAGCACGAAGGTGAAACAAAAAGGGAACAATGTCACAAAATTCAGGACAGCGGCTCCCGGCAGGAGGCGGGTGGATGGGAGAGAAAGGATTGGGGTGACCCAGCGTCGGAGAGACGGGAGCACCGCTCAGCGTCCTGGCTCCCAGGCTGGGCTGTGGGTTCACGGCGGTCCCGTTATACAAACAGGTCAATGAATGAACAAAGTGTAAGTCAATGAAATAAATGTGGGGCCTGCACGCAGTAAGGAGGACAGCCTCGTGGATTATGTTTATTCCAACTCTGTACACTGAAGGCCCACTGAGAAAGAAAAAGCAGTAATCAGGTGGTTGCAGGCTTAGAGGTGCACGAAGCACACAGCAGCCCAGAGAGACAACGGCAGCAGACGCTCTCAGCACTGTTATCAGGCCTCACTTCTCCCTCTGTAAAACGGGACGGTAAATAAAGCCCCTAACCCTACCGAGACCACACGACCTGCCCTGTTCATCCTGGCTTGGACGATAAATTAGACAGGCGCCAACCTCCACCCCACAGGTTACTGAGATGTCCAGGGACTCGTCACATGAAGCACCCGGCCCGGAGGTGGCAGGTAGTAATCAGCAGCTACGATCATGGATGTCAGATTGATCACAGGTGCCCGGTGTTACTCCCCGGGCGTCTGGGGACCTCCATCAAAGTGACGGGGGCCTGGAGGAGCTGGGGTTCACACCCAAAGGCTAACCTCTACAGTCTCCTAACTCCCAGGGACAAAATCCCCGAGACGCCTGAACACGCTCCACACGAGCCTGGTTCAGAAAGGGTGCTTTGCAGCTTCATCGACAGGGAGCCGGTGAAACGGAGGGCATGCCCTTTCTGCTAAACCTGTGCTATAATCAGTGCTCAACAAACGCACGCCTCAACGCCGGGAGACTGAAGAGAATGAGGAGGGCCGGGAGGCCTGGAGCATCTCCTGGGCGCTGGGTGCCGTGTGGGGTCTCCTAAGTGGTCCGTCCTTCCTCCTGACAACCCTTGCGGCAGGGGCTCTCAGCGTGCCCGCTTTACAGACGAGGAACAGAGACAGCGGGGTGAAGACGCATGCTGGTGTCAGAGATCTGGTACTGATGCCCCCACCTCTCTGAACAACTCCTGCCCAAACTCAGAGAGATTTCAGGTGAAGCCCTCAGTGTCTGAACTTCATACTCCCTGAGACTCAGGAAGCAAACCGACTTGGAAACTGAGGGACGCTTGCCTAGCGGCAGAGCTGACACGTGCACCCAGACGGCGCAGAACAGGAGCCCTGATGTGTCACCAGCAGACCCTCCGCCCCTCGGGGTCTCCCGACCGCTATTTACAAGCGGGGAGATTCTTTCCGGAATTGGAGGCCGGGCCATCCAGGAGGTGACGCGCACTGAACCGTAACCCAAGTTGCCACGTTTGAAGAGTCCGCCACAAAACGCCCCAATCACCTTGGCAGGCCGGCCACGTAGGACCAGGAGTCGGTCTTGGGGCTGTAAGTCTCAACCGAAGAGAGAGCTCCGTTCTCGTTCCGGCCCCCGACGGCCACCAGCATGTCGTCCACGGAGGCCAGGTAGAAATCCACGCGGCGCTGGTTCATGGAGGCCACCTGCGGAGGCGAGACACTCGTACCTTCCCTTCCCCATCCCGGACAGCGTCAACATCTGCACCGAGTCCCCAGAAGTGCTCTAGGGGACACGCGGCCCGGGAAGGCCAGGCGGTGGTTGGGTGAGTTTGGGGGAAGGGAGTCAAACTGGAAGAAAGAAGGGTTTCTCGGGTGGGACTTCTCAGAGCCCCCAAGAACCCCTCCGACATCGCAAACTCCCAAGAGAGGGATGGAGAACATGGTTCCCCAAACTTGTCTGGCCACGTGGCCGACCTTGTGGACTCAAATTCTGCAGGACACACAGTCAGTTCACAATTGCTGATTTCGTGGTTTCCTGGAATAAAAATTCATCTTTCCTCTCGCCGCGCCCCCTCCCCCGTTCAGATATTTTTTAAATTAACACTGATTGCCAGCTGTGTTAACAGGCAGAAGGTGGCACTCAACGGGAAATTAAAAAGCAGAAGAGTCAACTCTTTTTTTAAATAACCCAAGCAGAACACACAAACGGAGTCCCAAGGGAGACCCTACATTCAGGCTGCCACTGCTACAAAAACTTTGGAGGACGGGCTCCAAGGCTGGGAGCCTCTTCCTGGTGGCAAGACGGGCACCGTGGTGGGTAGTTTTAGATTTTTTTTTTTTGAGGAAGATTAGCCCTTAGCTAGCTGCTGCCAATCCTCCTCTTCTTGCTGAGGAAGACTGGCCCTGAGCTAACATCCATGCCCATCTTCCTCCACTTTATACGTGGGACGTCTGCCACAGCATGGCTTTTGCCAAGTGGTGCCGTGTCTGTACCCGGGATCCGAACCGGTGAACCCCGGGCCACCGAGAAGTGGAACGTACGCACTTAACTGCTGCGCCACCGGGCTGGCCCCTAGTTTTAGATTTTTCAGAATAAAACTGAAAGGTCATTGGAATCTGTTCTGAGTTTTGAGCTCAGAAAAACACCGAGTTAAGTAAAAACACTGAGGTGTAAATATAAAGACTGAGACCGGGGCCGGCCCCGTGGCCGAGGTTAAGTTCACGTGCTCCACTTTGTCAGCCCAGCGTTCCACCGGTTCGGATCTTGGGCGCAGACCTGGCACCGCCACCAGGCCACGCTGAGGCGGCATCCCACATGCCACAACTAGAAGGACCTACAACTAGAATATACAAGTATGCACTGGGGGGCTTTGGGGAGAAGAAGAAGAAAAAAAATAATAAAGTAACACTTTCATTAAAAAAAAAGAAGACTGAGACCAGCTTTCGTGGGTGGGGGCCTGGAGAGGCGTCCGTGGGAGAAGGGAACGCCTTCCCTACCCAGGTGCTTGCCACTCAAAGTGAGCTACAATCCCCCTGACACTGGAAGGTCAATGTCCCCCAACCCATTTGCAGAAGGGGAAGCTGAAATTCAGAGAGGGCAAGGAACCAGTCTGAAATCCCCAGCGATTCAGCCAAGTTGGGATGTGAAGTCAGGTCTAACACAAAGACCCACACTCTTCCCAGAATTAGGCCGCCACACTGGCCAGAGGGCCATAATTCCTACCGGGCGTGAACATCGTAGCTTCCTTAACTAGCTCCAAACCTTTCCAAAAGAGGAGCTTGGCGGAGAGTCTAAGACGGGAAGACTGTTGGAAGTGTGGGTCAAATCTCTAGACGGGAGCTATCCATTATGGTAGTCACTAGCCTCGTGTGGCCATTTACACTCTAGTGTAAACTAGTTAAAAATGAAATAAAATAGAAAATTCCGTCCCACTGGCCACATTTCAAGGGCTCAATCACCACATCTGGCTGGTGGCTACTGTACTGGGCAGTGCACACGTAGAATATTTCTATTGGCGCAGAAAGTTCTATTGGAGAGCGCTGCTCTGGACAACGGCTGACCCTGCAGGAGGCAGACGGCCAGCCCTCACGGCCCCGAGCCAGGGTCTGGGTGTGGGGGAGGGTGGGAATTACATGGCTCATCGGTTTATCGTCACATCTCGTTCAGAAGCGGGACCCCAATTCAAGGTCTGAGAGAAGGGAGGGGCAGTCGAGGCTTGGTTAAGGAGATGGAAAGCCCTCAAGAGTAAAGAAATAATCTGGCTTTAGTCTCACCTTGATCCACTGTTTACAGCGGGGGTCATACCTATAAAGAAGATTGGACGCTGCATCCCCTCCGTTGTCCCGTGAGAAGCTGCCGCCGGCGATGAAGATGAACCCCCCCAGCACGGCGACACAGTGGTGGCTCCGCCGGGCCGGCAGGGGCGTCTCCTTGACCCACTGCTCGCTCTTGGCGTCCAGGTAGCAGGTGTCGTCGCTGAGCTCCAGACACCGCTCTGAGACCTCGCCGCCCACAAACAGCAGGCGCTCCTCGTTGGTGCGGAGCGCCGTGCGCTTGGTCTGCATGACCGGCTGGGCCGCCAGGCTGTTGTGGTAGCGCACGGCCTCCTCGATGAAGCCCTCGCAGTTGGCCTCCCGCGGCAGCAGCGAGCACACGGCCGGCTTGACGCGGTGCAGCAGGTCGTTCTTGGGGATGAGCGGGAAGTGGATGTTCTCCAGCACCTGGTGGGCGTGCGCCTCGCGCTCGGGCTGCTGCGTGAGCCACTGCAGGGCGGCCTGCAGGAGGTCGTGCTCGCACTCGCGCTGCACCTCGCTGCTGCTCAGGTACACGCACAGCTTCTGCATGGAGATGTTCTGCAGGAAGTCGGGCGTGAAGGACAGCGTGCCGAAGTGGCTCAGGATGAAGCCGTCGATGAAGGCGTCGAGCCGCTTGAGGCTGTAGATGGAGGCCAGCTCCTGGAGGTACAGGTAGTTGTCCTCGCTCACCTCCTGCTCCAGGTACTGGCAGCAGAAGTCCACCACGGTCCAGATCTGCAGCAGGTGGGCCGTCTCCAGGATGTAGTCGATGTTGCCGCCGTCCAGGGCCAGCTCCCCGCCGTACAGGAAGTCCACCACGGCCTTGAGGCCGATGTAGGACGCGCCAATCAGCTCCACCTCCTTCTGGAAAGCCTCGCGCATGCCGATGGTGAACATGGAGTTGAAGTAGTCACTGCACACGGCCAGCAGGTTGCGGTGCGCCGGCACACGCTGCTCGTCGGCCACCAGGACGATGTCGCAGAAGAGGCCGCGGAGGCGTTGCTCGTTCAGCCGCTGCAGCACGGTGTTCGAGTGGTCGGCCCAGCGGTACACCTGCGGCAGAGAGCGCACGTCAGGGCTCTGCGGTCACCGGGCTGCGGAGGGGAGCACGCCCACCCGCCCCACGGCCATGGGTCCTGGAACCAATGCGCATCACGACTGGCATTTAACTACAGTGGCACGAGAGAACAGGAAATTAGGGTGTTTCTCTGTGTGTGTATGTATCGCAGGTTCCCTTCCTTCCTTATCAACACAATTCCTAAAACCTTTCTCTCTTTCCCTCTCTCTTCTCCTTCCTTCCTTCTCTATAAATAGAATTCCTAAGTTTTCTTTCTTCCCCCCCTCCCCCTCTATCTTTCTTATTGTGGGTCACGAGCGAACAGGTTTGAAAAATGCTGTGGGAGAAGCTGCTCGGGGCGGAGCCTCCCAGGTCGGACAGACTCTGGGTTTGAATCCCAGATCTGCCACCTACGAGCTGGACGGGTGTGGGGTAAGTGGTGAGAATTCCACGGGTCACAAGTGGGGCTGAGGGTATTTACCACTCCGGTTCAAGGAGTTAATGAGACAGGACGTGGCAATGAGCTGGAGAAACGTTAGCTGTTGTGATCGTCAGTGCCCACCGAGGCTGGTGCTGAGAAGACGGCTTTCTCAGTGTCTTAGAAAGCGCTTGGCACATGGTCATGCTACAGAGACCTCATTTCTACTGATCGGTTGAGGGATGTGGCAGGTCCCGAAGACTCAGCAATGTATCCAGACTAAGTTGCTCTGGGCATCCGTCTTTCAGAAAGGTGGCTTCACCAGCCACCACCAGGGCTAAAGGAAATAGCTTGCATGTCAAAGGCAGGAAGGCCATCTCTTCTCGGGGGCGTACATGTACCGTGTGCCATGCTGTGCACTCTTTCCTTCGAGCAGCACAAAAACCTTGCACGGGAACGCCTGTTATTATGTTATTATTAATATCATCTTTTAGGTTTGTTAATAGTCGCTTTATGTACTTGGTGCTTCTGTGTTGGGTGCATAGACGAAAACTGAGGTTCGGAGACTAACAGTGATGGAGGGGCAGGGCTGAGATGTGAACACAGGTCTGATTCCAGACCCAAACCTTTAGTCACCATGCTACCCTGGAATCAACAAGTCAATTAATATGAATAATTAATCCGAACTAAACTCAATAAATTCAGGTTGGCAGACATTCACGGAGTGCTACACGCCCGCCACGTGCTTTTGAGGATATGCAGACACGTCAGACCGAGACGACAGTTTCTAAGTCTCGGAGGACTAGTCACGCATGAGGCATTAAGGAAACCACACACCGCTTTATTCATTCGCCAGAAAATCGGAAAATTCAACAGAGGGAAAAACAGACCATTCAGAACTGTCAGCAAGCAGCTGGTCTACTTGGGGGCGACTGAGGGAAAGGGCCGGCCAGGCGTTAAGGCTGAAAAGCAGAAATGGAGAAAGGGAAGAGGGAGTGAGGGCCTGGTTAGCAGGTGGGAGCAGCTGTGCGACTGGCTTACAAGTCCCGCAATTCTTACAGGTGACTTCTCGACATGCGTCCTACAGGTGTGGCTTTCATCTCTTTCTTCCCCTCCAGATGTGCTCTTCACTGCCTCCGACATGTTTGTAAACGGGGGACTGTATTCCCCTGCGCTCCTGCCTCGGCCGGCCAATTCCAACGTCAGTCGCTCCATCTGTATTACAGGCGCGGGCGATGTCCTCATGAGGACACCAGATGTGACCTGAAGCTTCCTTCCCTCCCAAGTTGGGAGAGCCAGGCTCTGTGCTCCTCCATCACAGGGTGGCTCCTCACAGGCCCACTCATGGGCATCTCCATCTGTTCTGGTTACTCACAGAGAGAGCCAAGGCTGGCTGGTTTTGGTTTCTAATTAAGCAGGGATGGTCTGGGCTCCGACACACACTGGCTCGGAGGTCCTCTCGGGTGTGGACTGAAGGAAGGAAACTAAAAAGCACCACAGCACCTCTAGAGTGATAGGAAAGGCTTAGTGTCCTGGGAGAAGCAGGTGAGGGGCGTCAGGTGGGCTGTCTGCCCACCCTGGGCCCCCGGTTGTCTCTAAGCTGGTGTGTATGCTGGTACTATACACTTAAAGGGGGGGCACGTATGACCCCAGCCTGCGGAGTAAAAAGGGAAAGAAGCCCGGGGGCAGGGACCAGGGAAAGCCGCAGACAACAGCTGCCGAGGGAGCCATCTGCTCCCGTGAGGCAGGGCAGGGAAAAAGGCTGCCGCTGTTTCTAAAACTGGGTCTCCACGCTAAGCAGGCACGTTCCATTTTTTACCGGGGTCTCGGGCACAGCCCGTTTCTGGTTATTTGATAGTTGTAGCCAGAGAGACGAGAACTTTCAAAAAGCAGACAAGTGTGAGTTCCCGATTTTAAAGGGACGTCAGTAATGGAGTGGCAGCACTTCTCATAACTGAGAAGCCCCGATCCCCAACATTCTCTGATGGTATTAACCCTGTTCATTCCCGCATTTCCTATTTTGGTGCCTTACTCAGAGGCGAGGTGGCTGAAGATGCGCAGGGACTCAGGTGCCAACCCTGGACAGGAGGCGGCAGGTCTGGGGTATTTCATGTGAAAAAAGAATGCAGCATCAAAATGGATCAACCCATCTTAGAACCGATGAACCAACAGGGGCCGTCACACAATGGAAGACTCCATCGCACTGAGAAGGAACAAGTTCCCACCACGGGTGGCAAGTGGGGTGGAGCTCAGAAGCGCAATGAGGAGTGACAGGAGCAGGTACCACCCTCTGAGTCCATTTACAGCAAGTTTAGGGCAGCGAAGCTGTGGTGCTGGAAGCTGGGAGAATGGCTCTCTTGACTGGAGGGGTTGGTAATGCTCTTTAATTTATTTGGGTGCTGGCTACATGGAAAATAAGGGTACACTTATGATTTGGGCACTTTTTTAATATAAAACGTTAGGAATTGGGGCTGGCCTGGTGGCATAATGGTTAATTCAGCGGCCTGGGGTTTGTGAGTTCGGATCCCAGCCACAGACTGACACACCACTCATCAAGTCATGCTGTGGCAGCATCCCACATCCAAAAAACAGAGGAAGACTGGCAACATATGTTAGCTCAGGGCCAATCTTCCTCAGCAAAAAAAAAAAGAAAGAAAAAAGGGAAATGTTTGGAACCTAAATATAATCAGCCAAGGGAGAGAGCACCCTATTCCTAAAACCTTTGATTCAGAAAGAAACAAGCGCAGTATCTGGCTGTAAGGGACAAAGATTTCTAGTGCTATCAAACTTAGAAAGCTACACTGTCTCTGCAGGCAAGCTCTGAAACAAAGCCCCTTTGAGACGGCAGCAAGACCTCTGCGGGCCTTCACGGCGGATAAAGCTGGGCTTGGCAAGAGCCTCCTCAGTAACTAGAATGGAAACAGGAGACCATTTCTCAGGAGAACCAAGCTCTCCTGAAAATCACATCCCATTTCTCTTTCATGCACATCTGTAGAATCCCATTCTCTCTTTTTTTTTTCCCTCAAATCTACAGGCTGCTCACAACCCCCTTCATCTAAAGTGGTATTTTTCAATCTTCTTTTCCAATCCTCTTTTAAGATATTTTTTCCTAATAGCCCCTCATGAACTTTTAACACCACATATGTTCTGTATGTCTGGGCAAGTACGTATGTACAGCGTGCTTTAGACATAAAGAGAGTAAAATTCTTTCTGCACCCCCACGAACCAGCATCACCCCCCTGGGGGCAATATCGGCCCCATTGAGAATGCATGATCTAAGGTAAGCATAAAATTTAATCTCGAAAAGGGGCCAATTTTAAAGAAAACAGGGTGTTATTAATATTTATAAAGAGACAGGTGTAAACGGGGACCACTCCGCGATTCGGTCCCCCGATCCTCATCGATAGCAGCTTCGGGGACAGACGCTGCTCTGAGTCCCCCGAGGCGTAGGTTTCCAGCGCCCGCTCTCAGATTTTAATTTAGCAGGCCTGGGGTGGCGCCCGGCAGACGTGTTTCTAATGAGACAGCTCCTCCACGCCTTCTCTCAGGGAGCTTCTGATGCAGCCAGTGCGACACAGGCTGGTGGCCTGGCCCTGGGGAACCCACCCTCGCTGGCTCTCAGGGTCCCAGAAAGTAAGGACTCTGGGCCTCTAACACCCAGGGACACAACGTATCACCCCCGCCATACGGTCGGGCGCTGGCTTCTCAACGGACACATCCTTGGAGCTTTGGAGCCCCCAAGTGTGGACGGAAATCCCATGGCCTTTATCCCGCCCCATCACCTCTTGGGGTTGAGGCGCAGAATAAACGAGCCAAGCTGTGTCTCTACCCTCCCTCGCACCCCAGCTCTCTCTGACTCCTGGCCCGATGTCTATCTCTTCTCATCATTAAGGAGACTAACAGCGCCACCAAGAACACAAAATCGGCCAGCACGTGAAGAATGAGCTCATCAGAAAAACGTCACACGTCCGAGGCAACATGCACAGGGGGTGGGCGACCACACACAGACCTTTGAAGACTCGCTGATCTTGTATGGCCGAGACACTCGCGTCTGCCGGCTTCCCTCCATCGCGAAAGGGGCTGCAGCCCTGTGACAAGAAGACGGTTTCTGATTATGCAGTAACAACTCGCGGTCATTCATTAATTGCAGGCTCTGCTGGCAGATGTCACTGACAACAAGAGCAAAAACAGTCACATGAAGGAAAAGAGGGAGGGAAACCAGCATACGACAAAGAACTCTTCTGCACTGTGAGTTGAAAACATCAAGTCGTTAGAATCAGAACATTTAACAAGTGTTCCTCTGTCACCTAAAAGCCGACCTCATGTCTCTTAGCCCATCTCCTACAAATACCTACTTTTTGATGCTTGATCTCAACGAGGCCTTTGGGCCAGATCAAGGTTCTAAGGACGATGGTTATCATTTCAGAGCCCAGACTGCAACCCTGGATCCAAGCTAAAGGACCCTCACGAGCTAGCCCCACAGGCTGATGTCACTGATCCCATTTTGCAGATGAGGATGTTGAGATCAAGGACACAAAGCTGGCCAGTGGCCAGGAATCAAAGCTGGGCCCCTCACCGTGACGCTCTGCTGCTCGGGGGCCCAGTCTTCTTTGAGACTATCTTACTTTCTAAATACCATGATGAAGGGAAGGATGTGGTGCACTGATGTCTACCCAGTACAGAACGTTCTAGACAAACGGCACTGTCTGAAGGGCTCTCCTGTGTCTTGACTGACTTAATCCCCACAACAACTCCATGAGGCCAGCACTATCATCATCCTGTTTACGGAGGAGGAAGCTGACAGCCGCGAGGGGAAGTAACTTGCCCAGCGTCCCCTAGTTAGGAAGACGCGGCAGCGCTGGGATTCCAACCCCGGGTGGCTTCCGCGCTCTCGACCCCTCGGCTTGTCTGCCCGGCCTTAAAAATAAAAAAGCCCGCAGGCAGGAAACCTCTGATGGGTTTTATGCCCCACCTGGAATATTTGGTATAAACTTGAACAAACATGTTACGCTTTCTAGACCTCACGGTGGCATCTATGCAATGGGCTGGTGTATCAGATGTTAAGCTTTCTTCCGGCTTTCAAATGCCAAGCATCAAGCCAGGTTGTGGGGGAGCACACAGAGGAAGGTCGAGGCCAGCAACAGGGGCACAAGTCACATCCTGGGACTGCAGGTTTAAGGAGGAATGTCCCACCCCCTAGCTGAGATCAGAAGATCAATTTGTTACCTATTGAACAAACAGGCTTTGCTAATAAGGAACAACGTGACAAAAAGTCATTACTGTTTCAAAACTGGAGACAGCATTCCCACGGGAGCAATAAATTCGGGCACACTCCATCCTGTCCAGCTCCCGGGGGAAGGAAGGGACAACTAGATTTCTCTTGACAAACTAGCAACTTTGTGACAAAGACCAGTTGTCAGCCCTGTCCCAAGTGCCCCCTCGGGGAAGGGAAGGAAAACAGCATTCATGCCCTGCCTGCTGCACAGCCCTGACGTCCTTGCTTCCCCTTCACCCTCTGAGACAGGTGCCACCATCACTTCTGACACCCGGGCTCCGGCGGCAGAGGGGCCCACCCAAGGTCACACAACAGAGAGCAGCTGGCCCCTCTCTCCACCCCCGCGGGCAGCCAGCCAGGGCTCAGTCGGCCCTCGGGGCTCAAGGCTGTCTTTTCTAGGCCAAGATTTCTAGAGAGAGTTTTCTCTGGCGGAGGCGCCCTTTTGTCTCCGGGCAAGTGGTTTGGGGCCGAGTTCCACGGGAGTGTTGGGCGTCAGCTGCCTCCCGTGCTGCCCGGGAGCAGGTGAGGGGGTCACGGCCATCCCCAGGGCCTGTGCGCGGAAAGTCTTTGAGTAAACGCGGGAACCGAGGCCGCGTCCGGACAGGAGGGTCCCCAGAGAGCTCCTCTCCTCCTCCTCCCCCAGGCTTCGACCCCGAACCCGCCCGAGCTCCGCGCTCGGGGAAACACAACGGTGCCCAGACGGACACGGGGCCCGCAGCACTCACCCGTCCCGGGGCTGGCCGGCTGGGTCTCCGGGGACGCCGCTGTCGCTCGCTCGGACCCGGCAGCCCCTGGCGGAACCGCAGGCGCAACGGCCGCCGGGCAGCTCGAGACGGCGGCGAGGAGCGGCGGGGGCTGCGCCCGGACACCTCCCCTGGCCGCGCGGGCACCTGCGGCGCGGCTCGGAGGGACGCGGCCGGACGCTCGGGGCAAGCTGGCGCCCGGAGAGCGCGCGGGGGCCCGGGGCGCGGAGGCCCACCTGCAGGGCGCGCGGGGGGCCCGGGCGGGGGCGCGGAGGCCCACCTGCAGGGCGCGCGGGGGGCCCTGGGCGCGGAGGCCCACCTGCAGGGCGCGCGGGGGCCCGGGCGGGGGCGCGGAGGCCCACCTGCAGGGCGCGCGGGGGCCCGGGCGGGGCCGCGGAGGCCCACCTGCAGGGCGCGCGGGGGCCCGGGCGGGGCGCGGAGGCCCACCTGCAGGGCGCGCGGGGGCCCGGGGCGCGGAGGCCCAACTGCAGGGCGCGCGGGGGCCCGGGGCGCGGAGGCCCACCTGCAGGGCGCGCGGGGTCCCGGGCGCGGGGCCGGGGCGCGGAGGCCCACCTGCAGGGCGCGCTAGCGGCGCGGCGCTGGGGGCCCCGGCGGAGGGGCCGGACGGGCGCGGCGGTGGGGCGGCGGGCGCGGGCGCCGGGGCCCCGGGGCCGGCCGGGTGCGCGGCCATGGCTCCGCCAGGAAGTGCGAGGCCGAGGGCGGAGGCGCGCGCGGCCAATGGCGGCGGCCCGGAGGCGGGGGCTCCGTGGCGCCGGGGCGGGGCCTGCGCCGTGCGGGCCGAGGGGCGCAGGGTGGACCCCATCGGCTCGCGCCCCACGACGGCCCCGTCCCGCCCGGCAGGGGCATGCCCCAGCGCGCATCGCCAAGTGCCTGCTGGTGTCCCCCGCCGTCCCAGGCGCGGCGACACGGCGTGGACGGGACAGGCAAGGTCCCGGCCGAGGGGACGGACAAGCTTGCGGGGACCTGAGTCCTGGGAGGGGCATCGCCATGGCCTCTTTGCTCCCTCACCTCCTTCCAGTCTTAGCTCGATCGGGCCCTGCGTTCACCCCACGGTGAGGCCTTCACAGACCCCTCTATTTAAACTCACATCTCTTCTCTCTTCACCCCACTTCCTGCTTTACGCTTCACAGTAGCTCTTGCCACTGTCTAATACTCTAAATAATTTATGCGTTTGGTTTACTGTCTCGCTCCCCCACTAGAAACCCTCCAGGGCAGGGTTTATTGTCGGTTTTATTCCTGGCTGGGCCCTCAGGGCTGGCACACAATAGGCGTTCATTAAATATTTGTGGAATGAATGAATTTAACCTTCACCGATCAGTCTATCAATTGTCAAACTTATCTCATGCTATAAGATGGATGGACCTTGAAAACATGCTGAATGAAAGAAGCCAGACACAAAAAGACACATAGTATATGATTCCATTCATATGAAGTGTCCAGAATAGGCAGATCCATAGAGACAGAAAGCAGATTGTGGTTGCCAGGGGCCAGGGGAAGAGGGGGTTTGGGGGTATGTGGCTGTTAAAGAATAAGGGATTTCTTTTGGGGGTGGTGAAAACGTCCTGAAATTAGATAGTATTGATGATTGCATAACACAGTGAATATACTAAAAATCAATGGATTGTGCCATTTAAAAGGGCTGGCCCCGTGGCCGAGTGGTTAAGTTTGTGTGCCCCACTTCGGTGGCCCAGGGTTTCGCTGGTTCGGATCCTGGGCGGGGACATGGCACCGCTCATCAGGCCATGCTGAGGCGGCGTCCCATAGGCCACAACTAGAAGGACCCACAACTAGAATATACAACTACGTACTGGGGGGCTTTGGGGAGAAGAAGAAGAAGAAGAAGATTGGCAACAGATGTCAGCTCAGGTGCCAGTCTTAAAAAGAAATGAATAAAATAAAAGGGTGAATTGATAGTATGTGAATTATATCTCAATAAAGCTGTTTCAACATCAAAACCAAATAAAAAACTTCTCTCTCTCCTGTTTTTCTAGTCTCTGTCTCCTCTGGAAAGGAGTCAGAGCATCTTTCAAGTTTGCGTAAGCAGGGCTAGACGCAGCCCCTGAAGGTGGGCCAGAAGAGAAGGCAAAATAGGGGTGGGGAGTCAGCATGACCAGGCGCATCCTCAAGGCCGTTCTATATTCTTCTGTTCTAGACACAACACTCCACTTGGGCCCCTTCCGTCAGGTCGTGGCCCCTGAGCAGCCTGGTCCCGGCTCTGTCCCACCCTTGCCATAGCACCTCTCACCAGCGGCTGCCACCTGGGGGTGTGTGGAGGGCTGGGTCTCAGTCACCTCTGATGCAAAGTAAGGATGCAGAAGGATTTGTGCAGTGATCGAATGACTGCGTTCTCAGCCTTACTGGTGGGGGAGATTAGCATGGGGGAGTAAGCTCCATGCTCTCTTCTGAGGGAGCTCCGCCACCCGAGCTCAGTTTCCTGGTCTGTGAAATGGGGTCAATAAGAGCCTCTGGTCTCCCTGGCCTTCTCATTCGTAGTTCAGTCCACTACCCACTCACACCCTGCTTTTCTCCCTGAAAAGCATTACATTTATAGGCCTTTATTTTAAAAAAATTTTTTGTGACTGGAATTCGTATTAAATATCATTAATTTGTTCAGAAACCAAAGTATAGAAAGGGTCTTTTTAAATTAAAGGGAGTCAGAGTAAAACCAGCCTTGAAACTCCCTCGAGGGCCCTTTCAATGATGTTCTCACTGCCCGGATTGCTGACGCTCCATCTCTCTCCCCTTCTCTATGGGGACAAATACACGTTCACCCTTCAGTACTTTCCTCAGCATCATCTTTGCTCCGAAGCCTTACTCGCTCATCTTCAGCCCTTCCTTGACCCATCTCCACCCCAACGAAGCTGATCCCACATCTGGCTCCATGTCTCTGTCTTGACAAGCGAATCTCTGCTCTTACGTGAATTCACACATGCCTTCATTCACTAATTCATGCAGCAGACTTTTAGAGAATTTCTACAATGTGCCAGGCACTGTGGTGGGGGCCGCGGATAGAAAGAAGAAACTTTCGGGGATTTTAAGGAGGGAGACA